GGGGGGGTTCGGTGCTGTGTTGATCTAATTTGATTACATTGATTATGAAAAGTTACATGCTTTATACGAGGCATATTCAACCTGCATGTTGAACCAGTGATGACAAAATAATTTTTTTTTTAAAACTTATCATTGTTCACTAGACTGTTCATATCCTGTTCATCAGAGTTCACATTACGAATGTTATACACAAAACAAAAATTTGTAAACTGTAATTCCAGCAGAGGAATGGACAATTTGAGGTTAATTCAAAGTGTTGAACTGGCATTGCATAACATTTTACTGGAACTCTCAATATGAGGTCCAAAGACATGCTGATGTAGGTGGAAGTCATCATTAGGCTGAAAAAAAAAAAGAGGGATAGCAAAAGTTTTATCAGAGGTCAGCTGATCACTGCATACATTCCTAAAATGAATGAATGCAATGACTAGCACAAGAACACCAAAAGGCCTGAAAATCTTATGTGGATGATCAAAGAATTATTTCCATTGTTTCCATTTCCATCTAGCTAGGTTAAAAACACTCATTAGAAGGATAGACTTATCTTTGTTAAGTTCAGGAGATGCCCTCATGAATGATGATGATGAGGCTAAGGAAAAACAAAACAAGTACAAAAAAAGTATGGGCAAAGAGAGAAAAGCTCATGAGCCAAAGCATACCACATCATCTCTCAAACATGATGGAGCCAGTGTTATGGCCAGTGGAACCGGGCAACAACTGCTTATTAATGACTTCTTGAGTGAATTCTGAAGTGGAGAGCTTTTCTGTTTTCTGAATATACCGTCAAAGAGACAAAACGGTAATTTGTTTAATTATTCTGCTCAGTATTTTCTCCCTGTCTATGTTCTATCCTCCCTCTCTCATTTGTTTTACTTGAATTCAGAATTGATTTCTTTTTTGCAGGATAAACGGAGAGAAATCATAGCCTCCAGTTGCCATTTGCACTGTGTTTTTCGCACTTTAACCATTGCTCAGCAAGAGTCAAGTCTTTGCACACGAGTCAACATCTTCCTTGCAAACCATCACAGCAACCCGCTAAAGCAATCACAAGGAGGTTTTCAGTCCAGCACTGTGTACCATTCGGTGCCCAGTTTCACATAGCAACTGCCAGAAACCACTTAGCAACCAATCAGGGATTGAAGCATTCTTCCCTAGCAACCCGTAGCTATCAGAGGGCCACAGGTTCCTAGGCATGTGTGATTATTGCCTAACTTCCAGTGTTTTTTTAATTCTACCATTTTTGCTGCTTTTATATGCCTCTGTGTTCTATTCAGTAAAGATTATAAAATATTCTTACCCTCCAGCTTGCTCACACAGTTATTGAGTAAAAATGATCTTGCCAAAATTTCGAGATGTGGCAATGATTATTTTGTGAATCAGTGTTTATCAGTGATGGTACAAAGTAAATACTTGCTCAAACATCTGAAAGTTTCTTCTCAGTAATGAGTAAATTGAGAAACTGTTGTATAAGGAACAGTTAATGAGTGAAGAAAGGAATAAACAGGCTAACAAAACTGTATGTTTCCTTTTTTATAATTGCAACTTTACAGACTCTTAACTGTAGGGGTGGAATAGACATCAAATGTAAAGTGTTTAGGCTGAACATATATATAAATTGCCATGTTATCTATATGCTCTTTTCATGTGTGCAGCATAAGCAGCCCACGCAGCACATGTAGTGTTTGATGATTGTTTTGTTCGCCATCGCTCAAGCGGTGCAAGTCAACTCATCCTACAGCATACTGTTTTTGGTTGTTTGTTTTTAATCTGTGTTTTCAGAAAATATCCTGGTTTCATATTGAGATTTTAAGTCTTTTCTCAGAGCTGTGCTGTGCTTTTGCTCCTTCTTAGTTTTTAACTTTTCTTTTTCCTGCGTTTTGCTTGTTGAGCTCGATGTTCAGGCTTGAACACGCATCAGCTTTGATCTCCATTTCACTAATTAATTTCTATTCACTGTCATGCCGTCTCACGTGTCCAGTAATACACAGGATCCAGACGTATAGTAGACACTGAAAATGTCTTGTTAGAGCTGATGCATTTTGGATGGATATGAGGCTGAAATTCTCTTGAAGGTCTTACTCGTAGCTCTGCTCCTTTGGTCAGAGGTGGAGTTTATCTGCATTTCAATTCTTTGATGTATGCTTTGATCCCCACATCACAAATCCCTCATTATGCTGTTTTAAGTGTTTTCTTTAAGCAGCGTTTCCATTTGATGTGAAGACTCTGTAATCCTTGTTGGATCTGAAGTTGTACGGCAGGATGTTTGTTGAAAACCCTCACCGCTCTGATAGCCTCCCTGGTAGGAGGGTTTGTTCTTTAATAACCTCTCCTTGCTGCTGTTTTATTGCTTTGATCAGAGGTGGTGGTCCTCAGGGATGCTTTTTTGCTCACTGCTACAGTCACCTCTTTCACTCTCACACACTGCCATTTAAAAATTTCCTGCGCTACTAAAGCTTTTCTTTTGGCTGCCAAACAGAAGCGGAGTAAGATAGTTCCGACATCTGGGGTTTTTGACGTGACAAAGATGAGTGGAGCACTTAAAGCTTGGATAGATGTGAAAAATATCCTGTTTAAATGTTCGTCCTGAAATATGAGCGTCTGTGTCGAAAGATGTCGGTTTCCTCGAAAAAATATGCATAAAACTCAAGAACAGCAGATAATGGTGACTGAAAATGCACTTTTGGGAGAAACATCAAGTCAGCAGATTTCTGATTTGGTTGCGTGGAAGCTAATGATTGTAATTGTATAATTCTGATAAGTTTTCTTTCACTTACTGGATAAATATTTGAATGTATCTGAATTTAATAAAAATGCACTTTAAAATATATTATTCTATTTTGCCAGCTTTCTGTGTCTTCATCTCTTCAAAAAAGCAAAGGACTGAAGGTCATTGGTAATACTAGGAGCCATAGGAAACCTCTTAAGGGGACAAAATATAGAATTCCTGATAAATGAAGCTGAAATAATTAAAACTGGTGGTCATAACTACAAAAGACATAAAAAACATAAAATTCTTAACTGTGTGAATATCTCCCAGGGCTCAAATTAGTGTTTGGTAAAAATGACTTTTATGTGTGCTGGGTGTTCTTCCTGGAACCTTTAGAAACCTTATTTAAAGTGGCCAAACTTGCTTCCTGTTGGGTATTTGAAATCACTGTTGTATAATAGGCCAGCTGTGAGCTGTAGTTTTAATATCAGAGTCACAGCGTGAGATTGTGTTAGTTATTTTAGTTCTTTTATATTGGGTTGTTGTTGTTGTTGTTGTTGAAGGCCAGTTTAAGATGACTACATAGGTTTTTTTTTTTTTTTAAACTGTACTTTCTGAGTCTCAGAATGCAAATCTACAACTTTTAAGAAATCTTCTTAATAGCTAAACCTTTACATGACTGAATGGAAATTTTATAAAAAAAAAAGGTGTAATAAGTAATATGATTCTTAATCTTCTTAATCTCAGCATGGCCTGAGATTAAGAATCATACTGATTAAGAATGTCAGCATGAGCCTAAACTCCCAGTTTTTACATGTGAAACTCTTGACTGAAGAAAATGTAAAAACATTTGTCTTTTGTCAGGATGTCCAGGAGGCATATTTAAACACGTGACAGCAATAACTGTCACAATTTTGTATGTGTACGCCTGTGTTTAATAAGTGCAGAGGAAAATGTTCCAATACATTTACAGCTAGAGATTTGTGGGTCGGGACACATTTGCAGTTAAAGAAAGGTGTTTGCATATTGTATTAATTTGAATCACTATGCAGAAAACTGTGGTACAATAGTTGTGATTATAACGCTGATTAACATGTGATTACACTGTAAGTCTGACCGCTGCAGGGTTGCATTGTTATGAAAGTGAAGGCGTCCAAGTGTCTAACCTCTCTGAGTGATTATTTAAAGAGTAACAGTTGAAAGGATGACAGGATGACTGGATTGTAGACATTTGAATCATGAACAATGACTTCCAGGAGAGTCTGTGAGGATTCAAATGACTATTATGTTGTGTCAGAAGCAAGTTTCATATTATGTGGTGCTTTGCTGGTTTAATCATTTATGGGAGTTGTATCAGAGCAAAGACGGAAGGCCTAGACAAGACTCTAACAGAGATCAGTGACTTGTTGGTGTGAAAAGCTGCTGCTGAACAACAGGACATTGTCTCCTTCTAACTTTGACTGCAAAGAGCTGCTGAGTTAGTGCCTCGAGCGAGGTAATAGATCGACTCTGATCTATGTAGAAAAAGAGGGGTTGTCTTATTTGAACTATGTGAAGAATCGGTGACCGTGTAAGATCTCAGAGAGAGTGTGTAACAATGAAAACAAGGTTTAAACTTCCACTAAAGAGAGCATGCAGAATGCCCTGTTAGACAGGCAGACAGATGGATGATAAAAGTTACGTCCCCCAAACTGTTTCCCACCTACAGTTTGTTGCTTCATTGCTGTTTTATCGTTGACTCATTTCATAAAAACTTTTGACAGTTTGGAGCTTCCGGGGAAGCACAGGCGACATGTGTATCTGCTGTAGTCGACAGGAGAAGCTGTCAACACATAAAGAAATGAAAGAAGGGCTGAAACAAAGACAACATGTTGTCATGCTGTAGTAGATCGTTAGCTAAACATGCAGAATTTTGCTTCCTCTTTGTTTTGGAGGCTTTGAGTTTTAGTTCATTAATGTTTAAAATGGAAATGGGATGCTAATGCCATGCCCTATTTTTGTGTTATCAGGAGGCACAGCATCCAGGCAGAAAGGCTTCCGGGGCTGTATCCGCTCTCTGCAGCTGAACGGCGTCACTCTGGACCTGGAGGAGAGGGCGAAGATAACACCAGGGGTTCAACCCGGCTGCCCGGGTCACTGCAGCAGCTACGGCTCGCTCTGCCAGAACCATGGCCGCTGTGTGGAGAGAGCCAGTGGCTTCCAGTGTGACTGCAGCCTGTCAGCGTATGCTGGAGTTTTCTGCCAAACAGGTGAGCAGATACAGGAACACACATTTTACTATTATTACAATATTACATATTGTGTATGGCTTAGGAAGTTGATTGCACAAGCTTTTCTCTCAGAAAAACAGATTGTTTTAGATACTTAGTGATGCTGACCCCCAGGTCTGTCCCACTCATTTTCTTTTATTTTTTTAGAGGCTTTTTTGTTTGGAGTCCTTTGGGTTTACTTCTCTGTGGTTTCTTTGTTCTTTATTTAATGCAGGTTTTGTTTTTCTATCTATTTGTCACTGCATTAAGTCCTTGTTTGTTTTAGTTACGGATTTCATTTAGAGTTTTATAGTTCCCTCAATGTGTCCTTTGTCCTCATCTCCTGTGAGTTTCCCTCTGTTAACTTTATTCATGTGTCTGTCTCCCCTCGTTTTTTTGTTTCTCACTTCTCGTTTCTTTTTGGAAGTTATTTTCTCTTTTGTCTGGTTTTAGTTTAATCTGGTTAAACAGTTTTTTCATCAGCCCGTCATACAAGTCTCAGTCTGCTTCACTCACTTCATTCTGCATCGCGGTACTCTCACTTCATTAAACATGACAAATGTATTGTTTATGTGTAGAGGAAGTCCACAGCAAGGTGAGGTACATGGCCCAGACATTCGTCCTTATCTTATTTTGGCTTTTTGAAAAGTTTGTCTTTTTTGTTGTTTGTTGCTGGGTAGCTTCTTATTGACGAGACACCTGAGGTCGAATGAGTAGAGTAAAAGTCCAGTATAACCAAAATGTCTTAAAGGCGCTCCATCGTTGATGAAAAAATGCTAAGCTCTTAGTTAATGTAAGATTACTTCTCAATAATGTAGAGTTCAACTTTATGGAAGCATGATTTTAGAAACACATCGTGACATCTTATTTGACATTTAAAATACTTTTCGTCACGGTTCTGGGTCATTTCGACCCAGCATTTTCAGTTTCTTGTATTATGGTTTATTTTCTAATTCTTTAGTTGTCCTGTTTTGAATATGATA